TACCACTTACCACCTGACCAGTACCGCCCATCATCCCACTCCCCACCGCCCAGCAGCCCCCCCTCATGCCAGCCCCACCAGCCACATCATGCATCAGTGACACTGCTCATTACTAAAGCCTGCTGGTCACAATAAAACAGACATTAGTTACTCTGATGGCCCCACCCTGGGCCATTCTGTCTCCAGAACCATGGTTCACAATGGTTCTCTTGCCTCCAACTCCCCATTTGCACCATCCTAGACCCCCAGATGATGACCCCCAGGGCTATTTAACCTAAAACTTGGTTGAAACATTGTTGCCACAAGTTTACAAGAATACAAAGTTAATTGAAACTGGAAAATAGAAAATGAAATTTTCATCATCATAAAATCTGAGGTCTGCCAGCCACGGTGGTGAATGCCTGTAATCCCAGTGGCTCGGGAGGCTGAGACAGGAGGATGGCAAGTTCAAAGACAGCCTCAGCAACGACAAGGCCTTAAGCAACTGAGACCCCATCTCTAAAATACAAAATAGGGCTGGGGATGTGGCTCAGTGGTTGAGTGTCCAAATTCAATCCCCAGTAGCCCCCCCAAAAAAATTGGGGGTCTGCAGAAAGTTTATATGAAGTGGAAAGCTATTTTCTACCAATTCCAAGATGGTTTAGAAAAAGTCCTAGGTATTTTAAAAGGCATTACAGGGTTACAACAGATTTCTTATGTTTAAGTTCATTTCAAAAATATAGGACTTGGGCTGGGGCTTAGCGGTAGAGTGCTCGCCTTGCACATGCAAGACCTTGGGTTCGATCCTCAGCACCACATAAAGAAGAATAAGTGAAATAAAGGTGTTGTGTCCAACTAAGAAATAAATATTTTTAAAAATATATAGGACTTTCTTTTGCTTCAATTTCAACCTATCAATCAAACTACTTTTCTATTTACCCACTGAAATTAAGGTCATACTTTGTTCCCACAAGACAAAGGCTTTTGAAATAGAAGGTGAGGGGAGGGAGAGTTTAAAAGACTTGGATAATATCAGCCACCATTTATTACCTACATAGTTAAAAATGATGTAAGGCAGTAAGACTCCCTAGGCCACCTCGATGACGCACGCCGAGCGCTGCAACACCATCTGCGCCACGGAGACGCCAGTGGGGAGACTAAGTGTGTGGCAGGCTCCTGGCCCACTGCTGGCACCACTACCTGGGACAGCCGAGTTGTCACTCAGCATTTCCCTGGGTGCTAGAGGAGGGTGCCCCGGAGGTGGAGAAACGGGCAGAGTGACTTACAGCTAAGAGGGCACCCTCTCCAGTTTCCACAGCCCTGAAAGCAACTGAAATACCCTCCCTGAAATGTTCAGGATTGAGGGCAAGACACTGAAACCACCGCGTTGTCCTCAGCCTCTTCCTGTCCACCAGATGGCAGGGCAGCTATGCGCAGGGACAGCAGGTCTTCCCACCTCCCCATACCCTTCCAAGATGTCAACTCTGTCTTTATTAGAGCTGGTCTCTATGGAAGTAATTCAAGTTAAATGAGGTCACAAGGGTAAGATCCTGATCCCATGACACTGGCATCCTTGTAAGAAGGGAGAGAGGGGTACACACACAAAATCGCAGAGGAAAGGCCAGGTACGTGGACACAGGGAGATGGAAGCTGTCTGCAAGCCAAGTAGGAAGTCCCTGCCAGAAACCAGCTCTGCTGACACTGATCTTGGTGTTCCAGCCTCCAGAACTATGAGAAAATCAACTTCTATCATTGAAGCACAGTCTGGGGTCCTTTGTTAGCAGCCCAAGCTGGCCAACAGTGAAGTATGTAGCTCCACCCTTCCGCTCTCCTCAGATGACACAGCAGGCGGCGACAGGATGGGGGATCCCATACCAAAACCACCTCCAGGGGCTGGGGTTGTGACTCAGCGGTACAGCGCTCGCCTAGCACATGTGAGGCCCTGGGTTCAATCCCCAGCACCACATATAAAGATATTGTGTCCAAGTAAAAAATAAAATTAAAAAAAAAAAAAAAAAAACCACCACCCTCCACTCCAAATTTCCAAGAATCAGGAGCCCTCACCTGGGCTGACAAGCACACATCATGGACAACAGTGCCACTGTCTGGTGACTTCCTGAATGTCCAGCTGCCACAGAAAACAGAACTCCACCCGGCCCACCTCTCAGGGGTCATCACAGGCCACACTAGCACCAAGCATCTGGGGTCACAAGTGGATATGCCAACATTTTCTTCAGACATTTAACTCGTAAATTCTGGAAATGTCTCTACCTGTCCAAGATTATAATAAAATGGGTTTAGTTTCTAGAAAATGATATGAATAAAAATAAGAGAATTTACATCCCTGCCGCGGGCCTCGCTGGAGTGTTCAGAGGAACAGCCTGAGTGAAGACGCACAAGCTGGGCTGGTGGCACCTCACTCAGGTGCAGCTGAGGTGGCCCCGGGACCCACCTTAGCCCCAAGAGCAGCCAAAGGGGAACCCTGCTTCCCCGAGAGCGGGACTTCCCAGGAGCCACAGACCCTTTAGACAATGTGTATATAGCCAGGTGCAGTGGCACACGCCTGTATCCCATCAGGACAGGTAGTGGTGCCAGCGGCAGGCATGGCACTAAGCTAAGCAGGCCCTGGAGCCCCCGTATCCTTGTCCACCTTTTTACGACTTCTGGGAAACGTGCAAGTCTGGCACCAAGCATCGCCCACGCCCTCCTGGCGCTCCCTTGGCCGCCTGTCCCCCTTTTCTGGCATAAAAAAAGTGTATCACAGGGCTGGGGACATGGCTCAGTTGGCCAAGTGTTTGCCTCGCATGCCCAAGGCCCTGGGTTCAATCCCCAGCACACACACACACACACAAAAAAAAAGTATCTCACGACTGCTGGGTTTTCGTCAATGTTCTTGATCCGTCTTCCCTTCTTGCTTTCGTACAGGCCTCAGAGCCGAATCCAGGAATATCACCAACAGCAGGACCTTTCCAAAAACTCCCACACCCAAGCTTCACCATGTCCCTCAATCAAGTTCAGGCACCATCGCCGGCACCAAGGCTGTGGCTTTCCAGCCGCTCTTGACTGGCTGCCTGGTGGCAGGACCTGGATGTCTGCCTCAACTCCCATCTCTTCTAGTGGGTCCCTTTCCCCAAGCAGCAGCTCCAACAGGCTGGCCCCCCAAAACAGGGTCCAGACGGGCTTTGTTGCACTGTTCATCCACCATGGTCTCTGGTAGCTGCAGACCTTCCTGGCCGTATGAAGTCCGAGACGTGTGCCCCTCGTGGTGGTGCCACAGACACAAGCAGAAAAAGAAGCCAGAGCCTCCACCTCCATCAACAGTGGGAGAGGGCCTCCATTAGAAACCAGGCCAGCAACAGCCAGACTCGCTCCAGGACCCCATTTCCCTCTGCTTCTGTTCAGTGACCCACTATGGAAGTCAGCTGCTAGTGTCATTACTGCATACCGAGAGCTGCTAAGGGTTCCCTTCTGAATAAAAACATTCAAGTTGTATTTCGTTTTGTTTTGGGGGGAAGGTGGCTTTTGGGGGGATACCATTAAAAAAAACACAACCATGGGGTAGTACAGAGGTAAATAAATGGCTACAATATGAAAAACAGGAACCTGCACGCTCACCTACTCCACATGGCCTCTGTACTTGGGGATCCAGAAATACCTGCTCAGCTGAATTCAAACCTGAGGATGAGCCACACATTCCCACAGCAACCTCAGAGCACCTACCCACTTCCCGTTTCTTGAAACTGAACCCTTGAAACTGAACACTGGATGCCTCTGAAACTCCATCCTCCTTCCCTAGAGGASGACTCATGGGGGAGAGCAGGTTTCCTCCTTTGCAGCCAGGGGAGCCCAAGGGAATACCGTTGGCCCAAGACGTGAATGCGATTCTGTGCGTATCTTCTGGGATGGGTTCCCACAGCTGGGGGCTTCTGCTGTCATGTACCGTGGGCCTATTCCATGGTCTAGGGTAGCCCGTGGGCTTCCTTGCAGAGAATAAACAATCTTTAAAAACTCACAAAACAAAAAACTACAAAGGAACTGCTTAAGTTGAAAGATAATGACCCACATGTACAACACTCAAGTGACAGTCATATGCATGTTCCCACATTATCACATTGAGGAACTACCGCATTTCAAAGCGAAAATGACACCAAGATGTCCTCATGCCCTAGCTGTTAAAAGGTGCCTATGACTTCGATCGGCGACCAAGGCACTCACTCTGCCACTGCAGCTACAGTTCCTAAGGCCTGCTGCTACTTTCATAATTGAAGGAAATGCAATTTCAGTCGGATGCCGATTAACCAAAAAAGCTATAATTTGTACTGGATCCAAGTTTGTTTCCACATATAGAATTTAGGGTCTAAAGAAAGCCTCTCCTTTCCCCATCCTCCTTCCTACTTCCTGGGATGAGAATGAGATGGCTGGAGCTAAAACAGCTCCTTTTGACCTATAAGGCAAGATAGGAGGAGCCCTGGTTTCTAATAACCATGGAGCCATGCACCAGTCCCAGCCTGGCTGCCTCAGATTGGCATCTCTAACTTGTCAGCCATGTTGATTTATTTGTGTTATATAAAGCCAGTCAAACCCACTCTTGCTCTCTAATGCTTTCTCTGCTTAAGATAGTAAAGACGGAGATAGTTCAAGTCTGATCATTAAGAACATTTCTCCCTGTTTGGGGAGGCTGCATCTTCCTCACTGATAAGCCCGACTCCTCTGGAGCACAAAAAGGAGCCTAGACTTCTCCTCTGCTGCTGACCACCTGACAGGAAGCAAACCCTGAAACTGAGCCACAGAAGTTTCCCATCCACCTCAGTGCCACTCCACCCAAGGCATGTCCCAAGAGGATGCACACACCCCAGCCTCACAAGTTACCCAGAGGTCCAAAGCCTGCAACCATGCACCACACCTCAAGTTCACAGCCGGCCACATCCTCAGTCATGTAGGAGTAAGCGCAAAGACACTTCTGTGATGCACAGACCCACAGCCAGCCCAGTACGGGTGGTGGCAGCGGGAGGAGTACTTACTAATCGTCATGGATTCTGGCACCGACGCAGAAGGCAAGAGGCTGCTCAGAGGACTTCCTTGGGCTGGAGGGCTGGCRTCCACACTGGGGAAAAGCAGGGAAAAGGAAGTTACACTCAGCCACTTAAAATGCCCAACCTCCCCACTCAAAACACAAGCAGGTGGTCGCTTATTGGGGTTCTCTAGCGGGAGGAACAGAAGGCAGCCATCAGAAATCAGTCGATCCTGTTATTTGCAGACTCTGTATCTGTCAACTAGTCTACTCATGAAGTGTATTTGTAGCCCCCAAAATCAATGCTCACAGAATACTTTCACAAGTTGCTCATGAGCAAAACAATGGAGTCCCCAGCTGAGGACAAGCAAGGTGCCTGCCTTCTCATTTCAACTCTCGCAACTGTAGACAAGTGTCCTTTCCATAGTCTCCTTAGTCTTAGATTTTCCACATCTAAGTAGGGCTTCCGGGCGATTTTCCGTTTATAGGGGTCCCCAGGTACATGGCTGCCTCATGAGTCTACAGCAAGAGGCTGCCACGCGCCTCAGGGGGCAACGTGCGAGAGAGCTCCATCCAGGCAGAAGCCATCTGCCACTGACCACGAGCTCAGCGAGACAGTCAACACCAGACACTCAACAAGCCGTCTTTGAACAGGCAGAGGCAAAGCCAGACATATTGACCAACCAAGAAAAATGTTGCGACAAAGTCTCGGATAACCAACCCAGCACCTCCCCGCCAAGCAACAGCGGAACCTTCACAGAAGCTCCACGGAACAGAATCCCTGCAAATAATGAGGGCCAGCTCTTCATAATGCGAAAAAATAATATGACCAGCTCTTGTGAAAATAGCAGGGCCACATGTAGTGCTTATACACACACCTGCGCTCACATGCTCACACGCGCGCACACACAGAGGGAAAGCACCAAAGCATCGACCATGTCATGGAGTTGGGTTAAAGAGTCATTTTTCATTCATTGGAGCATTCTGCAAATTTTCTAAAAATAAACAGGATCAAGAACTGAGCCCTGGAAGGGTCTGTGAAGCCGTTCTTTGACCTGGCACCCCATGTACTAGCCTGCTCCAGGTAGTGTCACTTTTGGAATCCTGCCTATTCTGGGTTTGACAGAGGCACCAGGTCTGGTTTGGGGGCAGCAGACAAGAAGCCCACCCTGAAGACAGGGTTGGAAATGCAGGTGGATACGTCCCCGAGACACCAAACTAAAAGCACAGGAAAAAAACGTAGTGAAAGTAAGAGCAGCAAGGACAGTGGGCGCATTGGGAAAGCTTGCCGTCTACCTCTACTGTCACCAAACAGCCAATGACCTGGCAACTCAGTTCCCCCCTTGAGATTCTTCAATTTGAGAGGAAAGAAAAAAAGGAAACCCTTTTGCACTGTAGGTGGTATACTTAAATATTACATGGCATCAAAGGGACTTAAATATAACACTAGGACTGTTAAATATTACCAAGTATTAGTATTTAGATTAAGAAAATGACAAGAAGAACTCAGATATAGCTCAAAAAGTATAAGAAGGACAGGAGGTATGCAAATCAAGTTTGACCACTGTGCAGTCTCCTGCAGTGACTCTGTGGGGACAGATGACCTAAGCCTCTTGGCAAGGGCACACTGTGAGATGTAAGACTACCCCTGAGCAGAAGTGTGAAGTAAGGCCTTGCATATAACTCTAGCAGGTTCCTCCTAGCTTTAAAAAAAGAATAAAATGCCAGCCAGGCCCAGTGGCACATGCCTGTGATCCCAGCAACTAGGGAGGCTGAGGCAGGTTGATCCCAAGTTCGAGGCCAGCCTCAGCAACTTGACAAGACCCCATCTCAAATATAGTAAGAACAGGGATATAGCCCAGAGGTAGAGCACCCCTGGATTCAGCCCCTGGTACTATAAAAAAGAATAAAATGCCAAATTGTGAATAATACATTAATACACAAGGCAACCTGGTTTCTTAATATTAACCTGTACCGAAGCCCAGGCTCTGGGAGAATGTGGTCCTCAGGTCCTGTTCCGTTCTCCAGGCTTCCCAGGGGGGGATCTGGGTAAAGACATCACAGAGAGGAGATAAGGTGTTTATTCCAATTCCCTCTTCTTGTCATTCCTTCATCTGCTACGTAAGCTGACTTACAAGTTCTTACGCACCCGCACACTGGATCTTAATCTGCTACCCACTCCATTTTCCCAGGCATTTTTATGACTTGGCATCAGCTGCTGATGGAAGACCTTATCTCCCACTTAACCTGCGATTTTTKATCTTACAGCAAGTGGAACTGTGCATGAAGTTCGTATTCAGGGCCAACCCCAGAATCGGAGTAATTTTTTTAAAAAAGCTTTCTGTAGGACAAACCTTCTTCTGCCTGTCAGGACTTGAGACAGACAGCAGAGGGCAGCAAAGTCTAATCACCGACAATCTAGCTTTCGCCAAAAGCCACTTAACCCTGTGTACGTTGCATTCAGAAGCACATTCCCAAAGAAGTGAGGTGATAAAAATCTCAAGTTACCAATTTTCATAAATGCATGAGTCCCYGCACAAGCCTCTTTGCAGGAAAGGGTAAAAACCCATGAGCCCCAGGCTGGATGGTGACATTAAGATCCATATCACCCAAGGGAACCCTTGCTCATTAGAGCAACTCCTCATTGTCAACGCCCATCATGAAACTAGCCCTGCACCCGAGAGGGACAAAAAGAGCAACACGGCCTCCTCTGCACCATCAYGTCTGCTTAGCCTGGGCTGCTGGAGTCAGACTTCCCATGACTTACAGGTAAACTCACCTTGCCCCATTTTAGGTCACAGGCATGCCCAGCCCTCTACCTGCTCAAGGTCCCATGATGAGACCCTGGGCTGGTCTCCCCTCTCTGAATTGCCCCTAACCCAGGACAGGTAGTCCCCTCCACCGCAGAGCTGCCTCCTGCAAGATTCACAAGGGTACTCATAGCATGTTCCCTCCTCCCTCCCAAGACTTAGCTACTAAAAACACCCCCTCCTGGCCAGGCCCAGATTCCTTCTTGCCCCCCCCACCCCCCTTTTCTCTAATTACTCCCAATGCAGTGACTACAAAGGAGGCAACATTTTCAAAGAGGACGGAGAAATCCCTTGAGGCAAGAAGCTTTCCACGTGGGAAGTCATAGTAAAGGGCAGAATGGCCCCTGGCCAGAATGAGGGAGAATGCATTAATGTCACCATCAACCTGAGGGACACTAGTCAGACATTGGGCAAAAGTAGAGTCTCAGAAAAATGTTAGCGGAGCCTACCCAAAGAGCCTACCCTGGCATGCCGAGCCTGAGACCACCTGGCCCAGGTGCCTCCCATAGACACAGAAACCACGCAGAGGGACTGACGCAACTTGGCAGCAGGTAACCAGTCCCCAGCCCTGATCCAGCACCTTCAGTCACCATGGATCTTCCCTGCAATGCTCCCCACAGTGCGTCTGCCCACAGGCTGTCACAGCCTACAAGGTTAAACACTGGTACACTGACTCCTACRCATCACCTCTGGTAAGCACCATCAAGATAAGCTGGAACTTGGGGTCCCCTTAAGAGTGACAAGATGGACGCTCTGGGTCTGCCAAGAGACTACAGGAGATGTGCTGGGGGACAGTGGGGACCTTCTCTTGAGGATCCTGGAGGCCCTTATCCATGGAAAGCCTAGAATTCTGGGCTCTGGAAGATCCGATCCCAACGTGAATAGCAAATCGCAAGGCCCCAAAGCACCAGCCATCAGCTCCTCTGTTTCACAGGCTGGAGGGGCAGAGCCTGCTGCTCGGGGTGCCYACAGCCAGCCAGCATTTAACAGCAGGTAACAAGGACTGAGCGGGGATCAGAGGCTGAGGAGCTCCATGTCGGAGGCTGTGAGTAAACATCAGAACTCTCCCGTGGCCCTGGATACCCCTGGGCCCCCTCGAGCTTCCAAGCCCTCACCCCTGTCTCACACAGTCCAGCAATGACAAGGCAACCCCCTCGGGCCACCTGGACAGGGGAGCTGAAGAGGCAAGGCTTCTGGGGTCTGGCCTGCGGACACGAGCCAGGCCCACCACACCGGCCCTCTCTGGGACTTCAGCTGAGACCCGGTGAGATGTCCCCGCTGGTATCAAAGGTCACAAGGCTGAGCAACGTTGCTGGCACCTCAGCCAAGTTCAAGTAGAAAGGGGAAGAGTAAGAATGAAGAGGGCAATGACAGACYGGGGTGGGGGCAGCATGGGAAGCAGGATGACCACAACGGTTGGGCCTCTCCCCATCCAGAGTCCCCTCGATCAGCCCTGCTCCCAGCTGTGGACCTGCTCAGCTGCCCTGTCTTAGCACTGCCTCCTCAGCCTGTCTTTCCCCAGGTGAACCTGGGAGTCTTTGCCACACATCTGAGGGATGGGATGGTGCAGTGAACCCCCCAGCTGAGCAGGACAACCCCTCCCCAGCACTGGACTCACTGCTAGAGCCTGGAGGGCACTGTTATCACTACCGGCATCCACTTTCCAGGCAGGTCACCCAGACTGACAGACGGGAAGTCCACTCTGCTGCCTGCGGAGCCCATCTGTCTGGCCTTCAGCTAGTGTAAATGGATTTCTGTTCTTCACCAAGTGACAAGAATAATCCTTCACCCAGTTCAAATTTCAACAGCTTCCTAAGCAGTTGGAAGACTCCMGTCACAGCTCCCTAACCCTAGGCCCAGAGAAGCTTGTGTTCCCTAGAAAATGGCAGAGTACCTGTCCATTGGGCTAAGGCCTCTCTGAGCTCGAAGTGCTGGGGGAGGAGAGTGACAACAACCTGGCACTTCTCTCTACAGGTTCTGTGCACAGCATGGCGCACCTGTCCTGCTGGGAGAGCCAGGTTCACCCACACATAAACCCCAGGTCCCATGACCTGTTCAGCTACAGGAAACAATAAGACTACAGTGAGCCCGCCCACCACATGGAATGTGCAAGGACACTGGCCCATAGTCAAAGGCCAGTTCAAGCAACCCACCCCAGAGCCCCAAGAGCTTTCTGTCCAGGGCACCAGTGACATGACAGATAGCCCCCTCCACCATCGAACTGCCTCTTGCCAGATTCAAAAGGAAACCAAGGTCCTAAAAGGCAAAATGGCAATCACTCTTTATGTTTACTTTGACATGACCAAGTTCAATAAGCCATTGGTATAAGGGAAAAAAGTAAAACAGACCTGGGGGAACTTGGGGGATTGCCAGCCAGGTCAGCCCAACTCAGATGCTCAAATTCCTAGAACACCAAGGCCCTGTAGCTTCTGAGTCCCCCACAAGCCCCTCCTTGCCCTGGGCCCCAGGTTCCYATTCCTACCTGTGCAGGTAACTCAGATTCTCATGCTGGTTCTCAGAACTGATTCTCTCATTGGAAAAAAAAAAAAAAAAGAGAAAGCACCTACCTGCCGGGCTGTAGGAGCCCACTCCGCTGACCGGGAAGAGGACATCAGCATCGCCATGGAGCACCTGCAGCGGAGCCCAGCTGTGCACCTGGGAGAGGCAGGTGTTCCCATCCAGGGGCCTAAGGTGAAAGAAGACAGCTGCATGACAAGGCCCAGACCCCCAAAGGGCCCGTGACCACCAGGCACACCTGCTGAGCCTCCTCAAGGGCTCTTGGGAAACACCCAGGCCAGGATGGGGCTGATGGGCAGGAGTCTGGAGCATCGAGTGGGGTTCCGACCCTGACAGGTGCAAGGACATGAGTTACATATCCTTTGGGAAGATGTCACACAGCAGTTCAGAATCATGTCGCTGATCAGGAAGATCATGGAAGACTGGCCTGAAGGGGGAGCTGTGAGGAGCAAGTTGAAGGAAGCCAGGACCTGAGGGAAGCAGAGGGACGGGACACGTGGAAGGGGAGGCACCAGCCACACAAAGTGCTGAGCAAGAGAAAATGCCACCATCTGGRTTCTAAAACAACGGTGGTTACACAACTCTGGGATAATGTCGCTTTGCCTCACTGGTTCTCAGACCCCATGGGTCAAAGGACAATCAGACCCACTTGTGACTGGGTTTTCAATAAAAGGAGGTCAGCTAAAGTATTAACAGAATAACATCATATGAGCCTGGTTATCTGCCAAGTTCAAAACCAACACACACAGCCTTCGTAACACCAGGATGACTCCAAGCTGCCTGAGCATTCGCCCACTGCAGCTTCGCCTCTGGACAATCAGGAACATTAGTAAATACCAGGATGTGTTTACRCAGTTCCTAGATGTTTATAAAATTCTTTTGTATCTCAGTAAATAAAGAAGACCAAAGCTGATAACCATACCTACTTAGTAAAAGAAGGGACGGGTGTGGGAGAGAAAAGAAAAAGAAAACTCCAACTATTTGACTTGTCCAAGGTCAACAGCCACATACGACAGAACCAAGGCTTTGGGTTTTCCAAATCCAATTACAATGGCGCTCCAGCCTCTGTCCACCATGTGACATTACAGAGTTTTTATTTTAGAGAAGAGATTGACTAAGTTTAGGGCCAGCTAGTGAATATTTCAGGTTCCGTGGCCTACTTGTCTATGTTGGTATTTCTTCATAACTGTCCCTAGCTCGGGCAGGCGGGCTGGCCGGCTCCTCCTACAGGCTGGTCAGCACCGTCTCCTTCCAGCTGCTCTAGCTCCTGGTCAGGTCAGACGTTCAGACACTGAGGAGGAAACTGAGGAACTATTTCTAACAATTTCGCAAAACTTGTCACTGAATCCCACGGGTAAGGAGATGACACTCAGGCAGGGGAGGCAAAGGAAGGGCTGCTCCTGCCCGTGTCCTGGCAGCTGACCCCGACTCTGACCAAGACTCAGGTGAACTTGGTTGTGCCTCTAGAATCTGTCAGAGCCAAGCTTCTGAGGCTCTGGTCTAGAAGCTGGTGGCCCAGGGGATGGACAGCTGCCGCAGTGCCAGTGCACCCTTCTCAGCAGAGGGCAGCAAAGGCCACAGTCCATTAACAAGCAATCCACCAGCTCTGTACCAGCAGTGTTCTGCTCGTTTCCAACACAGTTCTTACCACTTCCAGCAACATGTGTGTGCATGAGGTAAAGCCAGGACCCTCCAGACGAGAATCTGAACCCAAGGAAAAGCAGCCCCAAGGGCCACCACTTCAATATGAGCAAAATGAGTTGAAGTGATTCCCAAGTCGGGGAAAGCCTCAGGATGTGGCTTCAAGATTGGCTCAACAGTGGGTGTTCTTTTCCTTGGAAAAGATACTTTCAGAAGTATCCAAAATACAACTGGGCTGGACACCATCTCCATGCGACTTACATTCACATGGCTGTAACAAAACCACATGGAGAATTTTCTGTCTTATGTTTCCATCTGATAGCAAGAAGATGAGCTCATCTTCTTACTACCAGATAGTCAAACTCACTCAAAATGTTTGAGATCCCAGACATGACGATATTAACACCCAACTCCTGCATGCCCGGCTGGTAACCGCCTCAGTGGCTGCATTTAGGTCAGCTCTGGTGTTTTGCTTCCGAGTCAGGACTTTGAATCCACTTGGTACATCCCCAGGCAGAGTCCATCACAGGACTGCCAAATCAAGCGGGACCAACACAGCTCCCGATACTGCCCAACCGTCTCCTCAGGACTGTTGCCGGCCCCTGGTACCAGCTGTGCCATCATCACTGCACCAATGTGGACCGAACATCCCCTTTGCACCTGGGAAGAGGTGCACTGAGAGATTGCCTCCCCCCCATATAGGCCACAATACTGGGGCTCCCTTTCAAATCTTGGCAAATGTGATTGGCAAGACATGGGACCCTCGTTTCCCTTCGCATTTACTTCATTGCTGATAAGGTGCAACATTTATTCATGTTTAATTCCTTTGGAATCATGTTCTTACCTATTTAATGATGTCAGAGCACATAAGGTGACAGAAAAACTCCTTTGTATGATAAGGATATTATCCCTTTTGATGAAAAACACAAAGCCAATACCTGTGGCCAGAACTGAGGCAGGGGGAGAACACTGGGCATCAAGCAGTGGCTTATGACCAGCTGTCACAGGAGGTGACCCAGCTCTGGACAACAGACCTCCTCAAGACAACCAAGGGTGGTGGCACCCACCGAGCTGCTCCTGGCCTGCCACAGCCCCCCTCACACACCTGCTGTGTTCCAGCCTCATGGGCCCTTCCTATGAGCCTTAGCTTAAAATCAAAATCAAAGTATTACTTGGCAGGCCATCTCATCATTCCTCGGCTCTTCCCCAGGCTGCTCTATGGAGTGTTCAATCGAGATCCCCCTGTGTACCAGGGAGAAGCTGTCCGCAGTCTGCGGGAGGCCCACTGGCTTTGGAGGACCCAGGCCCCCTTGGAGGTCACCAGCACAGCTTTGTGCTTTACACATCACAATGCCAGCAGCCACCTTGGCCTGGAGCTGGCCTCCCCTTCCAGCCTCCACTCAATGGCACCTGCAGGATAGGAAGAGGAATGGCTGATTGCAGCCAAAAGAGCACAGAGTGGATCAATTCAGGTGCACCCACCTACAGAGCCACAGAATCCAATGGCACATCCTAAATGGCCCAGGAGAACTCAACGCAGCTGTGAGAGTTCTTGTATGTGTCCACTTGACCAGGCCACATCACCCAGATACTTAATCAAACAGTATTCCAGATGTCTCCGTGAGGGTATTTTTCAAGTGAGAGTCGTATTTAAGGCAAAAGACCAAGCAAGATTGTCCTGCCTAACTGGGGAGCCTCACCCAACCAGTGGGACCGACTCCCCAGAAGGAGGAGGAGAGCTGCTGACAGACTGCCTTCAAGGTTGAATGGCAATTCTTCACTGAGTGGTCAGCCACCTACCAACTTCACACTGGCCAGCCTCTGTAATATAGGTGAATTTCTTAAAATAAATCAAGAAAAGGAGCAAGAGCAATACAGAGTCAGATAGATAGAAACAGAGCGAGATCAAAAGGAGGAAACACCACCCTACTGGTTGTGCTTCTCCGGAGAAGCCTGAATAATACATTGGGTCACAAGACAGCTTCCAGGTACAAAAACCATCCATAGCCTAGGAGCAAGAGCAATGCTTCCAAACAGCTACCCTAACAAATAATTTCAGAGCAGAAATGAAAATCTCCACTTCAAAATGGCCAACAAAAAAAAAAAAAAAAAAAAAAAAATCAATGCCACCAACCCAATTACACAACAGTAAAGGGAACTCTTTAGCAGGGCAGGGCAGGGATCTGAAGGACCACAGTCGAGTTGATCGGGGTTCTGCAGAGAAGGAACCAAAGTGGGGGAAGTGGAGGGAATAGGCAAAGACGGAGACTTCTACTGAGGAGCTGGTTCACTGATTATGAAGGTCCAGAGCCCCACAGTCTACAAATGGAGACCTAGAAATGCTAGTGATATCATTCAGTTCAGGTCTGAAGCCCGAGATTACGGAGGCCAACATCCCAGCTTAAGCTGGCGGGCAGAGAGGACACAGTTCCTCCTCTCCCTCAGTTTGTTCTAGTCGGGTCCCCAAAGGATTGCAAGATGCCCACCCACTCCGGGGAGTTCCATCTGCTTTACTGAGCTGACCCATTCAAATGCTACTCATCTCATCTGGAAATGTCATCACAGAAATGTTGTTTGAGTATTCCACAGCCCAGTCAGGTAGGCCATCATAGTCAACCACCACACTGGCCAATCGAGACTCATGATTATATAAAAGCATGGAGAATATTTGATAGTATAACTTTAGGGTACAACATATCCGAACCCAAATCCCATCTGACAAATCTCCACTCCATGGAATCCTGCTTTCACCTATAGAGCAGGTATGATGGCCACCGATCTCACAGGGTTGCTTTATCACTAAGGTAYGTCATCCAGCACTTCACAGATGATCAACAAGCTAATACCACTAACAGTAGCATCTGTGTAAATGAGGATTGAAGCAAAAATAAAGTTTAGTCTCATGAAAAAGAACCTAATATTAAAACATGAAACCAGGTGCAGTAGCACAAACCTGTAATCCAAGCTCCTCAGAAGGCCGAAGCTACARGACTGCAAGTTCAATGCCATCCTGCCCAATGTAAGAAAACCTCATCTCAAAATAAAATTAAAAGGACTTGGCATGTAGTCCAGTGTTACAGCACTTGCCTAGCATCTGCAAGGGCCTGGACTTGAGCCCCAGAACCACAAGGGAAAAAAAAAAAAAACATAAGGCTCTAGCCCTGAGCTGCTGTCATACTGTGCACCCTAACACCAGGATACCTCAGTTATACAGAAAGACACAGTTATGCGTATTTAATTGCCTCAATTATGAAGCCTTCTGTGATTCCTTTGGCACTGTTCTGGGTGAAGAGGAGACAGTGTAAGAACTATCAGAGTAAAACAGCGGCAACAGCTGACCTGTGCTATGTCACTTGCTGTGCCAGCACCAGCAACAACGGCCCACGTGCAGTACATCGCTGACTGCACAACGCCCTGCCACCAACAGATACTGCCATCCTCCAGGCCTCAGATGAGGCCAGAGGCTCTGGAGTGTGTGGAAATTCAAACTCGCCCAAGTACAAGATCCCAGGTCGTTCTGAATCCAAGATGCACACTCATCAACTGTGCTTTCTGCTTTAGGCCTTCACCCCTTCCCCTTCCACGACACTCTCCAGAGTTGAGACTTCCAGCAGCCACACAGGCAAGCTGCTGCTGTTCACACCCCTGCAGACTAACAGGAACACAGCTGCTCTCTAGACTAGCCTGCCTCCTCCAGGGCTTCTATGATTGACAAGTGAGAGATGAAAAAAACCCAGTTCATGAAAACCAAAGTCCTCTGTGCAAACCAAGAACTTCAGGGCACACTTCCTGGCATTAATTCTGTATTAAGTGCCTTCAAATATACTCCCTTCCCCTCTTAGTTCTCAGGAGAATGGCAAGCTGACATCACCACCTCCTAAATAAAGACTGAAAAATGACTAATGCCCTAACAGATAGAAAATGGACCGATTTCCTCCACTGCGGGAGAAGGAGAAATGGGCAATACACATCCCTTAGTCGGAAGCTCAAGTGGCACTTACTTCTCTGGTGATCCCAGGTGGCCCGCACGCTTCCTTCCTGATGGGTCCGCATACGCGTCGTCCTCGTTGTCATCCACGCCTTCGTCRTCGATGCTCTTCACATCGAGCTTCTGGTACCCAAGCTCCCCATTTAGAGAAAGGGAGTCCACTTTCCAGGAGCTGCTGCTCTGGCTGCCGTTGGAATTCGGCCCAAAGGGGCTTTCAAAGGCCGACATGATGTTGACCGAGGACCGGTCGGAGTTCTCCTCCGAGCTCTCCCCTGTCCCAGGGAGCTTTTTAAAAGCATCCCCAGAGGTCTGCTCATCCTCCTCCTCATCAAATGAGATGATGTTGGTCACCTTCTTTTTCTTCTTCCGTTCCTTTTTACATCTGGCATCTGGCAAAGAAAGATACAGCAAGAAAAAGTGGGCAAGACAGAAGGGGGACAGGCCAGCTCGCCCCCGGGGGCCCCAGAAGATCCCCTCAGGCTACTGAGAAGCCTAACTGCACCATATTCATTTATTTAAATCCTTGAGAAATACCCATCTATAGAAGACTGAGCAAGATGGACCCAGGCCTGTACGTCAACACGCTTCAGATCATAGGTGGACACTGTCCCTTCTAGTGTCACTTGGATTCCAAGGATGCTGCCACTGCGGAAATGATTTCCATTGTTTCACTGTGGGAAATACGCCCAAGAGTGGTAGGCAGACCAGAAAAACCAGCATGGGGGTCGCAGCCAGTTGTTTCACAGCTACAGCCCCCACCCCCCATGATGCCGCTGGCCCTGCGCCATCTATAGATCCTTGAATCCGAGCGGGCACAGTGCTCTGATGGTACCACTGGAATGTGAAAGAAATAACATCCCATTCTAGGGCCCAGGTGACAAGAGGTCTCATTGCTTCTGTTCCCCCCCACCCCCAGACTGCTGCCCCGATGGCACCCAGAGCAGCCAGCAGTCAGGCACACAGGTGGGCCACCCTGGGCCTTCAAACACAGCCACCAGTGACATGCCATGAGCAAGCCGAGGGAAGCCAGCCGAAGCCCTGCCATGCCCATCCAGAGTCGTCAAAAAATGAGTCGTGGTGGATTTAAGCCACCACCTTTTGTCATTTGTTACACAGCAAGGCTAACTGGAGCAGCGAACAAGACTGCCTGAGGGGTCAGAGTTAAGATGAGTCCATTTGTTCACCCGCCAATCATCCAACTTGGATGTCAGACACTTTGGAGTTGTAGGCAGTGGCTCGAAGTGTGGCCTGGTGATGCTTCACCAGCCTAGCACAGCTCTGAGGATTTCCAAAGCTCCTCCTGGTGTACAAATGTGTGTCTTTGTTACACAAAGCCCTCAATGTCCCGTTTTCTACATCTGCACATGAGGCGTCTGCTGAAGGCAAGACAGTCAAGTCTGTGCCGAAGAGCCCATGGTATTCTTAGTTTTCACCATCATTGATAATTTTCAAAGATGGCCACATTTACTGCCTTAGGGATTTGGGGACACAGGGACTAGAACTTAAGCCAAAATTTTCCAGTTCTCCCGTAGCAATATCCATTGCTTCCGGGATAATTTTTTTTTTTTTGGGGGGGGGGTAGTACCAGAGAATGAGCCCAGAGGCATTTTACCACTGAGCCACATCCCCAGCCCTTTTTTTTTTTTTTTTTTTTGAGACAGGGTCTTGCTAAGTTGTCCAGGGCCTCACCAAGTTGCTGATGCTGGTTTCGAACTCGTGACCCTCCTGCCTCAGCCTCCCAATTCACGGGGATTACAGGCGTGCACCACCGTGCCCAGCTATTATTAACTTATTGAAAACCAACTTCCTTTTGCCTGCTCCCACCTGGCGTTAAAGCTGACCAAATCCTCTCTTCCCCCAGGCTTCTGCTTAAACGTCCTCACAACATAGGCGAGACAAGTGGTCATTCTCCAGAGCATCTGTGATTGGCCTTCATCACATGTACCAAAGGGATATTTGGAGAATTTGTCTTTAAACACTATCCTCGTGCATCCCAAAGGGACTGCAAGCTCATTGTGGGCAAGCCATCTTAAGCTCGCTGCCTAACACACAGAACACAGTGAGTGCTTGAGTGGACGACTGAAGACCAAGCCCATGTGGCTCCTGTGGCTGCCCCACCACGTTTGCTCTTCTCCCCTGCCTTCTCTAGGCGAGCCTGTCAGATCCCCTTCACAGTGAATGAAGGCAAGAAAAATAAACATGACCCGAGAGTACAGCGCCCTAGATTTCATTCCCCTGGGAATGACCTTCAGGTGACAAGAGGTGTCCACAGCAGACATTCTCTTGTCCTTACAAGGACCCCTGTGCACCACCTCGAATGCCCATTCTTGCTCACCAGCACTGACGTTCTTGGACACAACAGGCAGCGGGTCGGTCTCCTGCTCGGGCTTAATGAGGATAGAGACAGCAGAAGAGGCTGTGATCTCCCTGAGGAGGCTGCTCATTCCCTGAGTGGATTCCTTCAGCAAGGAGGTCACGTTCTGCGTTGATTCCTTTAAGAGGTCGGAGACAGTGGGAGCAAATTTGCTCTGCCCATTTAAGTCCTTGTTGTCGATGTTAATTGCGAAGAGTATGGAGTTCAGCCCTGGCCAAAAGAAGGAAAGCTGGAGCGCCTGGGAGCATGCAGTCACCTCCAACATGAGAAACAGGAGCAACAACGCAGTACACACAGGATTCCTATACACCGATTTCAAACATTTATAAAACTTTCTGCAAAGCTGGGTCAACAGACACCAGTTACCAGGGGAGTAAGACTTTCCAGATTTCCTCCCCAAAGGTTGAGAAGACGAATGCAAATAAGAGTCACCCAGGAGTAGGTGAGAGCATAAGGGTAGGAGCAGACTGCCAGCACAGCCACTTACTAGCTCTGAGACCTTGGCCAAGCACCTTTTACTCCCCTGGGCTTCAGTTTCCTTACTTGTATGATGGGGACAATATCATCTCCCTCACATGGTCATAAATATTAAAGATAATCACATCAAAACAACCTCAGCTCAATAAGCAATCAAGATGTGCAGCAAGAGCATCACTGTGATTACCCTAGATCAAAATGTGCACTGGTCTCCAAAGGCCTGCAAAAGGGAATCTAGTTCAAACCCAACTCTTCCTCAGACAAAACTAACACAGCCCTCAATCTGCAGAGCTTAGTGGAAACCTTTAGGGGAATAAAAGGGAAGAAATTTGGGCAATTGGAAAAAAGACACAGCTGCCCACTTTTGTCTGGCCGATTCCATCTTTAACCCTTTGAGTGAGAGGAAAAGTGAACACCTTGGCAATCCATCAGGTGACATCAGCCCAGGGCCTCCCTAATGACAAGCCATATACATGACCCTGTATCTCCTGCGATTCTCTCACAGATTTACAATGGCAACTGGGAACTGTCAGAATTCCCACCTCACGGAGAAGTAAAAGTAAAAGGGACAAAGCTGACAGGATCCAGCCAGCAGAAGAACAGTTTGATGCAAAGGTAGGTCCCCCTCCAACTCTCAGGCTCCTTACATCACACCAGCCAAGCCATGAGCAACTCTTCAGCCCAGGCTTTCTCTTCCAGGTATCAAATTTCCAGATAATTGTGCCCAATGCTCAATGCCATTAAAGGAAGATCAGCAGCAAGTGACTCCATCAGTGAGGGACAGGAAAATTCACAGCATCCCCTGGGGTTGTGAATCCACTCCCAGGAAGCCCTCTCTACTCGCCGAGGTCCCCAGGACCCATCACCCCCGGCCATGGTCAGGCTTACCAGCTGCCATGGTGGGAAGCATGCTAGACCTTTCTTCATCCATCACAAAAGACCAGTCTTCATAAAAAGTGCTGTAAAGTGAAATGAGAAAAGGAGAAACTTCTTAAGAGTAGTTCTCTGCATCCACTGGCTAGATCACTCCATTAGATGACATTCTGGACAATTTGTTCCTGGTCGGTCATCACAGGGAAGGGAGGGTATCTGAGATCGCTGCTGGGTGAAGCTTCCTACTATAAGCAAAGATCTGAATGTACATAGTCTACAACTTCTCTGTCGGTCCCCCGAGACCTCAGGCTTTAGAGTACTGAAACAAACACATGTAAATATATTTATAAGGCAGCAAAGTTCAAGAGCACAGAGGGGTGACTTCCACTCAAGCACAGCTCCCAAGAGACAGACAGGAAATCCAAGCTGACCAACAGGGCTTGCCTGCTATCACTAACACAGAGGTGACAACTTCAGAAAGAAGCTACAAAATGCCATGGCTCCATCCATCACAGCATTCACTTAGAATACCTGCCTGGGCTACAGCAAAGTACAAGTTGTCCCTGGAAAGGTCAGAAGGCTAGGAGGGCCTCGTGAGTCTAAGTAGCAGTTGGGGTGGGAGGTCAGGAAGGCTTCAGGGTCTTTCTAAGGCAATCTGCCAATAAATGGTACAGCCAGGCTTACAACACACAACCCCATACCCACAATACCATGACACCCCCTACCACATCATAGGATTCTAAAGTAAGGGAGTCAAAGCTCAGTGCTCAATTTTACTCAAGTCAAGCCAATCTTGAGTGGCTCGCACTTCAGTGACAGACTGGAAAACTATTTGCTGACACAACTGAATACAATGAGCAGGAAGAGAGAAGAGACATCATTTCCAACATACTTACCCAGCAAAATGTTAGTGGAAGTACAAACCACAAGGTCAGGCTGGCATTTCTACTCTGCCCGATTCTCCAAACTGTACTCCTCTGGAAATGGGAGCCATTTCTGTGCATGTAAATGAACTAGGTTTCCCCACCCGCGTTAAGTGAGTGGCAAACCCTAGTAAATTCCACTGTGACTCTTAGGGATTCGCTGCAGCCTCCCACAGCTCAATTTGACTTTGGTACTGAGTATGCAACTCTGAACTCATCATCAGTAATCCACAGGAAAGAGCTTCACAAAAATCTATCTTAACAAACCTTAATTAAAGCAGGTCAGGCTTGGGAGGTGTATTCTCAGCCCCCAACTCTGCCCCCCCTCGAGGAACACACACATGCCCTCACCATCAGCTGTCCTGGTTCCCAAGCCTCCCACTTCAGAGTCAGATGGTGAAGTGTCACAGGCAGTGTCAATGCAAGAACTTGAGGAGTATTTTACGAACCCTAAGGCACAACCCAGAACACCCCCCTCCAAAAAAAAAAAAAAAAAAAAAATCACTGGTGCAGAGGCAACTATAGCAGCAGCCGGAGGGGAGACCTGAGCCAGGGAACACTTGGCAAGATGCGAAATCAAAGGACCACAATGTGATGCTGATGAAACGGTTTCTGAGTCAATTGAAATCTCCATGTTCAGGCTCTACACATGCTGATGTGGAAGTTCCTGAAGGAAGCAGGGCAGGATTTATCACTGCCCCTTTGTATCAGGTGACATAACGTGTCTGATCCCCCATTCTTGGGGGAAAAAAAAAAAAAAAAACAGCCAGAGCAAGAGAAACCATAAATGTCACAAGTATAGAAAAATGATGGGAAAAAATTCCAACAGGTGAGAGTTTTCTTTGTGTAAATTCTAAGTGATTCCATTTTTCAGGGATTCTACAACATTTTCCAGTGTTTAGGGAATGTGGCCGACTGTGCCACACTGGCTCCTACTYGGCAACACTCACATCACCTCTGCCGGCCATGAGCGTAAGGTATCCCGTGGGCAGTGGCCATACAAGCCAGTGTTTACTCCAACCAGAGCTCCTTTTCCTACCTTGGCTGCACATAACTGAAGCAAACAGATGAAGCAAACAGATGGAGCCTCCTATCAGCCTGGGTCCCCAAGATGAGAAGCCAAGCACACCCCTGACAGACATGTAGCACATGGAAGAAATAAGCTTGGTTGTTTCATGCCACTGAGGTATTTGTTATTGCAGCATAACCTGACCTATACTGAGAGTGAATTTTATATTTTATATTTATGATCCAAAAAAGGAACATAATAAAATCAGTTTTTAATTAAAAAAAAAAAAAAAAAAAGACTTCCTCCCAACTTAAAACTTACCTATATTTTCAGGTCAATTTGGGATCGAGTGAATGAAAGAATACCCAAATTAAAATTCCACAAAAATGAAAGACTGTAGCCGTTCCCTGCACACCCCGAGGCGTGCTGATAATAAGCATGGACTGAGTGGCAGCAATACACAGGTGCCATACAGAGTCCTCTAAAGGCCTTCTCACACAGAGGGTCCCCACAGCACAGCTGAACAGATGAGGGCCCCTGTAGAGGGACTGGGATGCAAGACCATGAAGTCTGACTCCCGATTCCACCCTCTTCCCCTTTGCCCCACCTGCCCCACAGCCCGAGGGCTGGTACCTGAGCCTGCCCTGGTCTGCGAGCAGCATGTGCAGGTAGCGCTCCAGCGAGTGCTCGTTGAGGGCGCAGCGCAGCCAGGCGCGGCCCCGGCCCACGTCGGAGGTGATGTGGCGCAGGGAGTGGAAGCGCTGCAGCTCGTGCCTGTTGAGGACCTCCTTCACGTAGTGCCAGAACACGGGCTCTGCAGAGAGGCGACAACACGTCACTCGGCCTGAGATGCTCACAGCATTCAGAGCAGCAGTCCCCAGCAACTTTTTTAGATTGTGAAAGTCACTTCCTCAGCACAGAGGGGGTGGAGAATAGAGTATATCCAAAATAAAAATGATCCCAGACACACCACCCAGAGGTGACCGTTCAGTGACATCATCAGGAATCTCCTTCCAGGCTTCCCCTCACACACACTTCACTCGTTGCACAAAATCAACATCTGTGGCAATAGAATTACGACCCCAAAGATATCCACATCTTAACCTCTGGAAACCATGACTGTCACCTTACGCAGCACATGGTCTTTGCATTTGCAGTTAAATGAAGGACTTGGAAAGGGGGATCTTCCTGGATAACCCTGTGGGCCCAATAGCAGCAAGTATCTTCATGAGGAGGCAGAGAGATTTGACCCAGGAAGTGGTGATGGACAGGGAAGCAGAGACTGGAACCATGCATCCACAGACACAGGAGGCTGGCAGCCACCAGAAGCTGGAAGAAGCAAGGCCAGCTCTGCCCTGGAGCCTCCAGCAAGAGCTGGCCCTGCCATCACCTTGACCTTAACCCAGTGAAACTGATCTTGACCTTCTGGCCTCCCAACTCCAAGGGAATAGATCCGTGTTGTTTTTTAAAGTCACCAGTGTTAAGCCAGAACAATGGCATGTCCCTGGAGTCCCAGCTACTCAGAGGCTGAGGCAGGAGGATCACTCAAACCTAGGGGTTCAAAGCCAACCTGGGCAACACAATGAGACCTGTCTCATTTAAAAGAGAAAAAAAAAAACTACCAACTTTGCAGTAATTTGCAATCATCAAAAATGATACATCATATTGTATGATTATACATGCACATATGCATAATTTTCTGTCCTAGCTGGGCAAAATGGTGCACACCTGTAATCCCAGTGACCCTGAGAATGAGACAGGAGGATTTAAAGTTGAAAGCCAGGCTCAGCAATATAGCAAAGGGCCTAAGCAACTTAGCAAGACGCCGTCTCAAAATAAAACATAAGAAGGGCTCAATGGTTAAGCCACCTTGGGTTCCACTCCCAGTACCAATAATAATTCTGTATCCTAGTTCATTTTTCTAGATCATAAACATTTTCCTGCCACCATTAAGTCTTTGAAACTTGACTTTGATGGCTTCCCAGTGAAACGCAACGTAACTATTTCTCTATTATTAAGAATATGATATGGTGCCAACTTCCCTCTCCACAGCAAAAAGCATCCTTGCACATAAATAATTGTCCCCATTTTTAGTTCCTTAAGAGAGACTTCTATATTCTCAATTACTAGGTCTGAGGATAGGAACAGATTTAAGGCTTTAAAGGAAAGGTAACGTTTGCCTTTACCCCTGGAGTAGTCATCCTTACGACTGCTGCCATTCCTCTGCCTTTCTCATCCTCGTGCACAGGCTTTTCCTAGTTGTACTCCTCATGTATACCTCATTTATGATCTCCTCATGTATACCTCATTTATGATGATCTCATGTATACCTCATTTATGATGATCTCATGTATACCTCATTTATGAT